GGCAATTAAAGACGTAATCAAACAGACGATGAACACTATTAACAGCAATTATTATATGATGCAATCAAACTTATAGCAAAATGTGGTAGTTCTGTAAGTTGTTTCAGGGTTGGCATCATCAGAGGTCCTCTGAAGGGTTGGCATCATCTCTTCTCAGGTGTTCTGGATCCGGACTGAAGCTTGTGTAAACGAGTTGCTGTACTGCGTTAGGCTAACCAAGACTTGTCATTTGCACTTATATATTGTTGCTCTTTTGTTAGTTTTGACTGTTTTTATTGTCCTCATTTGTAAGTCGCTTTGGATAAAAGCGTCTGCTAAATGACTAAATGTAAATGTATGTCTGAGTGAATGCGAAAAAAAAAAGTATGGCAGGATTTAATTTGGTCCATTAACAATTAATTGGATTGCTGTCATTTGTTATTCTTGTGATCTCCGGTGATTGACAGATTTCCCTGCTCCATCATCAGAGGAGAGAAGAGATGATGTTGTGAGGGAGAAGGAAAGTTATTTTGATGAAAGATCAGGAGGACACATCAATTAGAAATACATTATGTGCATGGATAAATCATTTAAGCACTGCAATATTCCATAAAAAATAATAACTGTCAACTTGAATTTCATGGTGACTTTATGAAAGTAAACAGTAATCTTTAATCTCACTGTAACTGCTGCAGAGTATAATGATACTAACTCTAGTTTCTCCAGCTTGCATTGTGTGTTCATCAGTAGATCACTGAGGTTTTTCACTCCAGAGTCTCCTAGTTTATTCCCGCTCAGGTTCAGTTCTCTCAGGTGTGATGGGTTTGATTTCAGAGCTGAAGTCAGGATGAGACACTGTTTCTCTGTAATACTGCATCCACACAGACTGAAGACAGAAAAAGAAAACAATAAATAAGATCCATATAAAGTCTATGTGTGAATAAATACATCAAAAGTAAATGCCATACAGTCAAAAAATAAATTCATTACAGTTATTTCATTTTAATAAAGAAAGTTTTTACAATTTAACTTAATTCATTCAAATTAAAATTGCTTAATTGGGTCAACACAATTTAGCTGGTTTACATTAAATTAATTTACACTAGTTTGGGTTAGCTCAACTTTAGTACATTTGTCAAACAAAATCTTATGGGAACAAATGATTATTTATTTACGGAGGTCTAATTATTATTATTATTATTAGTAAACAAGCAGTTTCACTTATAATTATAAACAATAATGAACAAATAAGAAAAAACTGTCAGTACTTACATTTGAATAGTTATTACTCACTAAGTGCCACAGTCTAAGCACAAACGCCACTCTTCTGTATTAATAACCACAAAATTCACAAACATTACAGAAAATGTCCAACATAACTGAACATTAAAGACTAACATGTATTTCCCTTTACAGAAAAACACATAAAATAACACTTCATCCCTAAATTTACAATCATGCAGTTCCTTGCAAATCATGCTGGGAACTACAAATCCACTTCTTGTGTCACAATTCATTCGGGGAGCAAGGAACGAGGAAACGAGGAGTACTTGAATAGCACAGTCTTTAATAATCCACAGGAAAACCGAGAACAATGAGGACATTCAACAAGTAGACCCGACCAACAAGAACTGAAAGGACTAGGGCTTTTAAAGGCAGGATAATTGGGCAGGAACGAGACACACCTGGAATCAAATGAACACAGTCAACATGAGGAAGAAATTGGGTCACAGGGCCAAAAACACACACAGAATAGTCCATAATCCTGACATAACGCCCCCTCCCGGAAGGTGCGTCCTCGCACCATAGCAACAACATAGGGAGGCGTGGGTGGGAACTTGGGAGGGGGTTCTGGAGGAAGACGAATATCAGGGAGGAGGCCGGCAGACAGAGACCAGGGGGGGGCGACGAAGGAGGGAGGGGCCAGGGAGGAGACAGGAGGGACCCGGAGCACAGCAGGACCCAGGCTACAGCCATGATGTCGACCCACGGTGATGCCGACGGAGGCAGGAGCCATGGAGGAGGAATGGCCGCCGACTCCAGGGGGCCGACCAACGGTGGCGGGGCAGGTGGTGGAGGAGCCCGAGGCGGAGACAGAGAGCCGATGAGCCAGGGCGACGGGGAGGATCCAGAGGTCCTAGGCGGAGCAGATGGCGCCGGTGACTGACGCGGAGATGTGAATCCGGGAGGCTGCGGTGGAGCCGAGGGTGCTTTCTAGGAGCAGGCACTGGAGGGCGCTTTCTTGGAGCAGGCACTGGAGGGCGCTTTCTAGGACCGGGCACTGGAGAATCGGAAGCCCCTTCAGGGCTGGACGAGGGAACCAAGGACGAAGGAGTGCTGGACGGGACCAGCGGAGACGATGGAGAGAGGAGAGGGGGCAGTTCGATCTCCATATCAGATTCCAAGTCTATTATTAGATCCCCCTCCTCGTTTTGGCCTTTTTGCGGCGCCATACTCAGCTCACCCTCAGCCGCGGTGCAGGGGGCGGGG